AAAAGCACAGAGAAAATTGTCAAAGAGTTGCTTGAAGAAAACTTTCCTAATTTCATGAAATATAAGAAGGTAAGCATACAAGAAGCTGAACAAACCCCAAATAGGATAGATTCCAAAACAATATCATCAAGACATATCATAATCAAACTTTTCAAAACAAAAGGTAAGAATTCTGAGAGCAGCTTGGAAAAGAAGTGGTACATTACCTACATAGAAACAATAAGACTGAACTCTGCAAGCAAGCAGACAATGGGATGACATATACAAAACTCTGAAATTAAAAATTTGCCAATGATAAATGATATACCCAACAAAGTTGTACCTCAAATATGATGGTGCAGAGATTAAAGGAATTTGTAATGACCAGACCATTGTCTAACAAAAAATGGTAAAGGTTATTCTTTGGACTAAGAACCAACAACAGTAAACAACAATATGAAACTCCCTACATGACAACACCAGCCAGAACTCAATCCAGATATAGAAGTATTTAAAGCAAGCATACAAGACTGAAAATAGGGAACCAGAGATGTCTATTTATTTATTTAGAAAGGAATTTGCTTTTGTTGAAAACTCAAGAAATTTTTGTTTACCACATCACTAGGATTGGCATTATGGATATATCAATTTATAATGAAGTCAACTGCAAAGCAAAAAGAAGGAATAGTGTAGATACAAAACTTCCAAGTTTTTAAAAGCAAAGATACCACTTTGATGACCAAGGCACATCTGACCCAGGCTGTGGGCTTTTCACTTGCTTCATAATGTTGTTGTTGTTGTTAAGTGCCGTGGAGTCGGTTCCAACTCATAGCGACCCTGTACAGGGTTTCCGAGGCTGTAAATCTTTACGGGAGCAGACCGCCTCATCTTTCTCCCATGGAACCGCTGGTAGTTTCGACCTGCTGACCTTGCGGCTCACAGCCCGATTCATAACCACTACGCTAGGCATGGGAAATCTAGACATTGGGCAAGGAAGATAAAAGATTGTATTGTTGTGTCTGCAAAGAATACTGAATATACTGTGAAGTGCCAGAAGAATGAACAAAAATCAGTTTTAGAAAAAAACCAACATATTCCCTAGAACCAAAAATAGCAAGACATTGGCTCACTTACTTTGGACATGGTATAGAAAAGACCAATCACTAGAAAAGGTCATCATTTGGAAGGTCACCAAAAAGAAAGGAAATCTCAGTGAGGTGGATCAACACAATAACCACATAACCAGACTCAAAGATGATTTATGACGAGGACACAGGACCAGGTGACATTTTATTTTATACATTAGGTTGCCATGGTTCTGAGCTGATGATGGCAACTAACAGCAACAGCATATTATTAACAGTAAACTTGAGGAACCAAGAGCTAAACCAAATTTGACCTCTTAAGACACATGTGCTGAATTGTTCTTGCAAAAGGAAAGAATTTTGTTTTACCAAGACTGCATCCATAGTTTCCCAATTTTAGTATATATACATATTAAACAGAAGATGAGCTACAAGGACAGATATACATCCTTCCTGAAAATCATTCTCAGGAAAAAAAAAAAAAAAAAAGAAACTTGTGTCTTCTACCTACTGAAAAATATTTGTACTTTTGATGAGATTCTTAATATATCTCTATTGAAAACATGTATTTGTACACATGACCATCTACCAATTTAGCCATGGGCTTTAGCTCCAGCGCCAAAGTAATTTCTTGGACATGATGCCATTGCATTTCTGAAAAAGACTTTCTTACCCAGTATATATACACAGAATCATTCAGAATTATACTTCTAGGTTTTTTCTTTCTTTTGTTTCTCACAATTTTGAGTTCTTTTTATTCTGCTGCCTCTAATTTCTTCTGTGTGAAATGATCCTGTTTGGTTTTAATTTATTTTCACTCTTATTTTAATCTTAATCTAGCAAGACTGATTCATAGATCATTTATGCTTTTCATCATTTTTTATAGGTCCTTCACACTAACTTAGAATTGCTTTTTTCTTTGCTGATGTGTATACCCGATAAAGAGGATTAAAGTCTTTTTGAAATGCTTATCAACTATCTTTCAACCTAACCCAAGGGTTTATTTTACAATAGCATATCTGTTTCATACTGTTATTGCATTCTGCCAGATTGCCTTGTAAGTTTCAATAAGCGTATTTCTCTGATTTGAATTACTAATATGTTTGTTAGTAGCTGCATGACCTTGGGTATGTTTATGTAACTTTTCTAAATCTGAGTTTTCTTACTTTCAAATGGAAATAATTGTTCATAACTCATCCAAGTTTTACAAGGATTCCCTAAGAATTCTCTTGTAAATCACTTAGCACATTGCTTATTGTGGTTTAGTGCCGTCATTTAGTTCCAACTCATAGCAACCCTATACAGCATTTCCAAGGAGTGGCTGGTGAGTGAGCCACCGACCTTTTGGTTCAAACTGACCTTGTGGTTGAGTGCTTATCCTACAGTGCCACACCAGGACTCTGGACCTTAGTAAATGACATATTATTAGTTGTTCAGTGCTTGATGCTAACTCATTTTAAGTGAACTATTTTAAACTAATTTATTAAGGGGCTTCTAAAAGTTCATGGAAAAATATATTTAAAATGAGTTCCATTTTTCCGTGAACTTTTAAAGCACCCTCATATTCAATTAATTTATTTCTAAATAGCCTTTTGCTTTACACTGAAGCTTAAGTTTTACACTGAAAATTAAATAACTGTTATTTCATGTTTACATGATTGAGTGGGTAAATGACAGTTTTTCTTTGAACCTTTTGATGAACTAAATTAGGCCACTGAGTCATTGAAAACTGTAAGTAAAATATCACTTTTCTAATATTTGATTTTTTTGCCATTAGAGACATATTTCAAAACAAGAAGAAATTTTATTTCAGTGGTAACATTGACTTCATTTTACATATAATATAAAGATGACTTTTAGAGTTTTTCCCCAATTTTCTAAAAAGAGTAAACTCTAATAGAGATACACGATAGTCTTCACTTAGGGGTAATCACTTTTCCAATATTTTCACTAACTTAGACTTTGACTTACAAAAGTTTTTTCAGAAAATTTCTATAAAAATACATCCAGTCTCTACTAGGAAAATAGCATAAAACATTCGCTGGTATTTCTAACACTTGGTTTCCTGACTTTTTAACTGCCTTAAAAATGTGATTTGGTATAATGGAAAAATAACAGCATTTAGAATCAGAAGACCTGTGTTGAAGTTGTAGAGTTTACTTTTTCATATTGGTTTTAAGAGCTCTGGCACTATAGTCAGACAAATCTGGGTTTGGGACCCTCTCTTCCTTTGGAGTAATCAACTTCTCTGAGTCTCATTTTTCCTAAATTCTGTTGTTAGTTGCCATAGAACCCGTCCTTGAACAGTGGAATCAGACTGTTATAATCCTTGGGGTTTTTATTGTCTGGTTTTTCAGTGGTAAATCACCAGGCAGGCTTTTCCCCCCTCATTTGTCTTAGTCTGAAAACTCCTCTACACCTGTTCAGTATCTTAACAACAAGTAAGTTTCCACTGCAGGTTAATGGCTATACTTCAGGCTCATTGGCCAGGAATCAAACTCAGGTATGCTGTATGGAAATTGGATCACTAGTGTTTACTTCTCACCTCTATAATAGTATATTATTTTGGCAGAGTTGGAGATAGGCTCAATTATTTCTGTGTTTTCTGAACTAGTGGGGATACATGATATAATCAATTTATAGTGCCTAAAATTATAGTGGATTCTCAATAAATACAGATTACTTCACCTACATCTCGTCTGTACTTTGCTGCACTTTGCTGCATTCCTCTTTTTTTTTTTTAAGTGTTCACCTACAGCTGCTTCATGTGTTCAAGTTCTGTGGGGTTTTTGCTGTTTTCTTTTATACTGATTATATGGTATTTTAGGGAAGAATTAAAATATATATATATATATATATGTATTGTGTGCATAGTAGGTGCTAAAAGTTTATTTATTCCTTTTTTGCTTCAAAAAAGATGCAGTAGGAATCATTAAAATAGATTCTGCATGAAGGAAGAGTACTGGGGTGCTGCATTGTACATCTCCAGTAGGTGCAGTTCACATTAAGTCACACCTCATTAGTTGTTCACCATAGCAGCCCTAAAAGGAAGGGGTATGTGGAAAAGTAATGATTCTAGAAGCTTTAACTCCGAAGACCACTGTTTAAACCCCAGGTTGATTCTGGTATCAAAAATAGACAAAATATACACTAAGATTATCATGGAGTTCTGGTGTGGCACTGTAGCATAAACACTAGACTGTTAACTAACTACAAGATTGGCCTTTAAACCCCCAACCACTCCTTGGAAACCTTATATAGGGTCACTGTAAGTCAAGAATGACTCCATGGCACTTAACAACAACAATAAGCTTGCTTACCAAAGACACGAGAAGGTGTCCTCCATTTTTGAAAAAAAATATGCTTATAAATGATAATGCCCTTGCTTATACTGAAAGAGATGAAGTATAGTAAAAAATGTAATGATTTTCAGTAAGGGCAAATACAGGCTGGCAACTATCAATGAAATTACTCATAAATTTTGACAAAAGTTTTATGGTGAACCAGTACGCCAAAGCAAAAAAAAAACACCCCAGGATTCTTAATGTGCACAATTTCACATTCATTTGTATATCTTAGATGTACATTGTTTATCTGAAAAGAAAATATAAAATATAATCTTCACCTGGACAAATGGAACAGTAGTATCAAAATACTGTCAGCCCCACCATACATATCATTTATCATTGATAACAGTTTCACTGAAATTGTGTTTCTCATACTTAGATCCAACTTTGAAGGATGCCATAAAGGCCTGCAGATTTAGAGATGATTCATAGTAGAATTTGACTACTGTAAAAGCACTATTGCTTGTCCCCCTAATTAGATAAAAAAGTATATAGTGCTAAATTTTGTAATAATATTGCTCAAGTGGAAATTGAATCTTAAGGATTATTTTTTTCATATTATTGTATTTCACTGTGGTGTATTGGAAAGTGACCTGGACTTTGAGTGAGAAGATGTGATTTGGACCATGGCACTTAATAACTCTATAACCTCAGGCAAGTCATTTAATCTTCTCTGAGCCTCAGTTTTCCTCGTCTTTCAAATAAGGACCATATTTTTTATTATTTCATAAGTATGCCAATGTATAGAAAGTTACTGCAAAGTACTTTTTTTTTTTTTTAACAAATGTAATAAAACTTTTAACTTGATAATTAGAATCAGTCCAATATATTGCAGTATTATGCTATTTTACTTAGCTGATACTGGGACAAATGCACAGATATTAATTTTTAGCCTTAGACATATGGAATGAACTGTTGACAGTAGTATATTTTTAAATGTATATTCATTGTCTTAGTGTTCTACTGCTAATATCAAAGTAATATCACAAGTGGGTGGCTTTAACAAACAAATGCATTTTCTTACACTGTAGTTGGCTAGAAATCCTCACTCAGGACACCTAATTTCAGATATAGTAGAAGACTCTCTTTGTCAGCTCTGGGGGAAGGGTCTTATCTTCTTTCCCCTTCTGTTACTTGATTCCATGTGTGGCATGGCATCTGCAGTCCCCCATATGCTTGCTTCTCCATGCTTAATCTGCTCATTTTATATTTTAAAGGTTTTAGCTTTAAAATACATCCTACACTGATAGCTAATTAACATAATAAGGAAAAAGTCTACCCCCAAAATGGAATTACATCCACAAGTATTGGGGTTAAGATTTGCCACAAATGTTTTGGGGCAACAATTAAATCCATGAAATTCTTACGTAATCATACACCCTCCAAGATATCCCCTCAAATATAATTTCAGAAGACACTAAAACAATCAGTAGAAACGTATCAGATTTTGCTTAGGAAAAAGTGCTGTCAAAACATTTTCCCCATTTGATGATATAGTTAAAGTGCCTTCAAGTTGGTTCTGACTCATAGTGACCCTGCACAGGGTTTCCCAGGAACAGATGGTGGGCTTGAATCACTGACCTTGAAGTTCAAACTGACCCTGGTCTACTGTCAGCTCTTCTTTCTTGCTGGTAGTAGGTCCCTGTGATCTCTGCTCCCTTGTTTCATCCCTTTAATATCTCAAAACAGATGGTTTAAGATACAACCTAGTCCTGCCTCATTATCTTAATTACTACTACTCCTGCCTCATTAATATCATAGAGGTTAGGATTTTCAACACATAGAACAATTGTATGATACAATAGAGGATAATTACATTATACTGAGAATCATGGTCCAGCCAAGTTGCCACCTATCTTGGGGGAGTATGCAATCTGTGACATCTATATAAATTCAAGGTAAGTTTATTAGAAAAGTCAGCATCCAGTTATTTGCATCTGCAGTATATTTCCCAACTCCTCAAGCCCAAGGAAGGCAAGGTCTGAATATAGATGTACATATCAAAGGTAGTTCTAGAGTGTTACTTCTATTGTGGAAATAAAATTTTCTCACTGTGGCAGAAATGCCACACCGTTCAACAACACATTGAAAAACAGGCAGAGAGTAGAAATCTCATGTAGTCCAAGAGTTTTGCTTTATCTGGCCCCCAACCTTTTACCCCAGACCTAGTATTCATGTTTCTGTCTATTCCAAATTATGGATAATCAAGTCATCAAAAATTCTTGTGAAATATTTGTTTCTGTGCAGGCTTTGTAGAAAACTGGCCTCAGCTGTCTCTAGACTTGAGAGGTCTTACCTATGTATGTAGTTAAATATATAAAAAGGTTTTCATTCTAAAAGATATCTGTCCCTACATTATCTGTTTATGTGATAAGTGAAAACTTTTCCTGGTTAGTAATTTTCCTTCAGAAACCCTGGTGGCATAGTGGTTAAGTATTTGACTGTTCACCGAAAGGACAGCAGTTTGAATCTACCCACCTCTCCAAGGGAGAAAGCTGTTGGAATCTGAGTCCTTCAATATTTATAGCTTGGGAATTCTATGGGGAAGCTTGTCGCTGTTTCATAGGGTCACTAAAGGAGCTCTCGTAGCATAGTGGTTACAAGTCAGGCTGCCAGCTACAGCAGTTTGAAACTACCAGCTGTTCTGTGGGAGAAAGATGAGGTGTTCTGCTCCCGTAAAGAGCTACAGCCTCAGAAACCCTGTACAGAATCGCTAGGAATCTGAACTGACTCCACAGTACTTAACAACAACAACAACAACATGAAGAACTGGGAGTCCTGGTGTGATGCTGTGAGTTAATGAGCTGGACTGCAAAGTTGGTTTGAACCGCAGTGTCAGTGGTTCAAGCTCACCAACTGCTCTTTGGAAATCCTAGATAGTGTCACTATGGGTAGGAACCCACTGGAAGACCTTAACAACAGCATGAGGAACTGACTCCATGGTACTCAACAACAACAAAGAGTCAGCAGAGCAGCAATGGACAGTAATCTTCCTTGAAAAAGAAGACAGCCCCAGGGTGTTTGTGCTTCTTCATTCTCAGAACACTTACGACAATGCCTGTTGAGAATATTTCACAAGAATGGAAAAGGAAGCAGTGCACTTTAGATAGTGTATGGATTTCCAGTGACTACATCCAGAGGTCTCTCCTTAGTCTCAACCCAAATGACCTTTCTAGTTATTCTAGTTATCCAAGCCCTTATGTAAACTTCATATACTGGCGTTTATAATATATAAATTATTATATATTACACTCAAACACCTTCTTTTACCTTTTAGTTTATGTCTCAGTCACAAATTTACCTTTTTCCTGAGATCTGGAAACAGACCTGAGTATCACATTATTATCCCAGTCCAACATGTCCAAAACCACATTATCTCTTCCTCCAAACCCTATTTCCCCTAAGACACCACTGTTCTTACAGTCTTATAAGTACGAGGCAAGAATCTTGGAGTCATTTTTCACTGGATCCTCATTCTCAGCCTGTTGCCTGTTCATTGCTTTGGCCTCCATCACTTTTCATTCCCATTGCTATATTAATTCGTGCAGTCATTGTATTTGTTTATACCATATATTTCCTCCCAACTTACTCTCTTTATATATTGTCATAATTCTACATAAGTCATTCCTTATTCTAAAGTAATGCCGAAATTATAATTCCAACATATGTATTTGATCATGTTGTACCTTCATAAAATCCGGTAATAGCTAATGAGAAAGAAAGGAAATGTCAATACATGTTTCCTTTACAAGATATAAATAATAAATAAACAAAATTAAGATATTTAGTCTTAACGTCAGGTTATCAAGTGTTGTTAACTGTTTGACTTGTACATATTTCTAAACTGTGAAAAGATTATACCAGACATGTTTTGTGAGCTTCTTTTTTCTTTCCTGTATCATGAACATATTTCAATGTCATTAACTATTCTATGATATGATCTTACTTCCTTTATAATAATTCTATTGTATGAATGACCTTTAAAAATCCTTTTACATTTGTGTCAATCTTCTTTCCTATTTCTTATTATAGGATAGCCTCCACTGTACCCAGTGGTTTATTGCAGAGGTTAGCAGACTACTACCTACAGGCCAGCTGTAGCTCACTGCCTGTTAATTTTTTTGGACCCACAAACTTAAGAATGTTTTTAAAAGAATTGAATAATTGTGACATATAAAAATTGAATGAAATTTAGCCTTCATTATCTGTTGCCAATGTATTTTGTAATTTAAGCAACAATCAAATTCCTCACACCAGTAAGGCTAGGGCAAGGGAACCTCTGGATATATTTATGATTGATCCGGTTTGCTATATAATTTCTCCGTGTATACTTTGCTGTCCTTTCCATTAGCCGCAATCTTACATTGCTACCTGAGTTAAAGTTGTCCATGATTGTATTCACTTCAGAACCAGCTGGTCACAGTACTCAGTGTCTCCTTGTGCTGACGACTGTAACTACAGTGAGATTCACACCAGAGTAGCACAGTGGCCAGAGGGAAGTTGATGGTGGCACCAAAGGCATCTTCTCCCTTTCGCAAGATACGAAGAACAGCACTGCAAAACACATCCCAAATAAAAAGAATATACTCACTTTTTAATATTCCTGACAGTTTGAAGTATGGTACAAAATCATCGTATACATTTTTATGATAAATATTATTAGGAAACATAATATCCAAACACTATTAAAGAGTAAATCTTGGTGAACCATTAGTTATACTGTTAGATTATACATCAAAATTATTAGACAGGTGATTGTTAAAGGAGAAAAACATTATCAGGTTCTGATAGATAGAAATGCAGAACTAATCCCTTGAGTGAGCCTAACAATATAAAACATTCATATTGGAATGTACTTTGGACATTTTATGTTTATATAATAAAAGTAAAAATCAAACATGAAATACTGAATGATTACCCAGTGAGTAACAGTTCATTCTTTTCAACAAAATATTTTTTTCACAATTTTGTGCTTCATTTGTTTCCAGTGTCTTGAACAAACACCTGTAAAGAGATTTTTATAATTCTTATTTCTTTATTAAAAGAATCCTTTTAAAATAAAATAAAAAAATAGAAAGTACTTTGTTAGGTGTATCCTTTATTGTAAAATAATTAATAGAGTGATAAATTCATGATTAAGTAGTTATTTTGTAAAATGTAAATGAGAACTTGTGATTTTAAAAATAATTATTAAATATTCCAATTAGGAAAAATCTCTTGGGTGGGCCAATCGAATGGTAACTAGAGGTACTTAGTCTATTTTTACACTAAAAATACTCACAAAAACTTGGGAGAGGTAAAAAGAAATCATAAAGGCTCATGTTACTATTTTTGTTTTTATGGTAGTAATATTTTTAGCAATAATAATAGGTGATTTTCAGTACTTTATAACTTGAAATTTTCAGATCATTTTTTAAAACATGTATATAAACTGTTTTTTAAGCTTCAATTTTTCTAACTTAAATGATCATATAAAATGCATTATGATCAAGTTTCATTTATTCTTTAATCCTCATTCTCTGGCCTGCTTTATTTTTATTGCAAGCTTATAGTTGAACACAGAAAAATGCCAAAGGGTTTACCTCTAAGTGACGTATCTGTCTGCTTTGCCATCTGTTCTGTTACAGATTATATGGATTGACCATCAAACTAGAACTTAATGCTCTGACAGGGTTTACTGCTAACAGCCTTTTATATAAAGGATTTATATACAAGTTACCCGTTGTAACTCTGAAGTCCATGCCTTTTTACATTGAAAATTAGGGTTGTCGATTGTGTTGTTGTTGTTGTTGTTAAGTGCCACTGAGTCAGTTCTAACCCATAGCAACCCTGTACAGGGTTTCTGAGGCTGTAAAATATAATTTTTAATCTTTATAATTTAATTGAAAACATACACAGAGTAATTACTCTGGCCCTTATTGTATAGTTACTTTGTATTTTAATATATAAAACATATAATACAGTTTAACATATATTATAAAAAGTATACTTTAAATATTTTAAATTAAACATTCATATATGAATAATATGAGGAATAAAAATAACAATGCTTTAAAACACTTAAAATTACATTGTCAGAGATAATTAAAAAGGCAGAAAATACTGTTAAAGACTAAGGTTGTTGTTGTTGTTAAGTGCCGTCAAGTTAGTTTTTAAAATATATCATGTTTTAATTTAACTACATTGAACTGTCAGGTAGGAAGGTAGATAAAAGGAGTCCCCATGACAGAGTGGGTTAAGCATTAGTCTACTAATCCAAAGGTCAGTAGTTGGAATTTACCTGTCAATCCATAAGGACAGGTGAATCTATCTGCTTCAGTAAAGATACAGAACTTTGGAAGCCCAAGTGTGGGACTGTAGGATAAGCACTGGACCACAAAGTCAGTTTGAACCACAACATTGGCCATTCAAACTCAGCAGCTGCTCCTTGGAAACCTTATTACAGGATCTCTGTGAGTCTGAATCAACTCAGTGGCAGTCGTTTTGGGTGATTGTATCATTTAAGATTATAAATTAGTACATACCACTGAATTTATAACATATTATCTCCAAAAAAACTTTGGAGATCATCTAAAGCAAACTATTGTACTGATGGAGAAACCAAGGTTCAGAAAGACAAATATGTAGCTAATTTAAACATTCAGATATTAGCTTAGTGATTTAATTCTAAACTTACAGTAACCATGCATTTCATTGTTTAATTTGTCTCTTTGTCCTACAAAGCCATATTGCCATTTTCCGAAAGAGCATGCCACAAATTAACAGAAATATAGCCATCAAACAAAAACTTAACAAAATGTTATCTACAAGCCTCAGTAAATTTATTTTTATAGAAAATTTGCTTCCTTAAGTTAAAAAGCAAAATATATGCATTAGCTTTTAATTTTATGGCTTTTATGTTCAAGCAAAAGTTTTGTTGATGCTTCATCAGAATCTGAAAACAATTTTGTTATGCTTTTTATGTGTGTATATATATTCTTGATTAATCAATGTAATTAGTATAGAAAATTACATTAACAAAATACCAAGTGCTTTAAATTATTGTTTTATGTAAGTAAATTAATTACAGATTCAGTGGTAAAAAGCAAATTTTAAAACGTTTGAATGACCCACTTCAAATATGTGTTTGAAATATTTATCGCCCTTGCATTGTGTTTGTAAATGCTGATTGTAACTATTGCTATAGACACAGCAGTGGTTCTCATAGAAATGTGATATTTTATATAAACGAAAATCCCACACATTCAAATTCTTACAGTATCTTTGTTCATCCTTTACCTATTCTAACCATAATGCCTGAGCACCTTATAGGAACTAAAATAGAGAAATTGTACTGATACAGATATTATAATAAGGTGACTTTTAATATGACTGTGACATTTATTTTTATATGTCCTAATTTAGAATCAAGTGAAAAGTGTGTATATATTCCTTATTTTCAGCATGTAATACTTTTCTTTCTTTTTCAGCTTTTTAATTAAATGAAGCCAAGTGGGATATGCGTAAAGTGAATGTTTACCATGAAGAGAAACTGTTCCTGCCATTGTACGATTTTGAATTCCTGAGTTCTTTTCTTTGTTGATTGTGATAAGCTAGTTTATTCTTGTATAATATTTTTAAATGTGGATTTTGCTAGTAAATTTAATTTATATAAATGTATGGTAAATTTTAATAATCTACAAAGGAAGTATAGAAGTGCTTTCAAATATTCAGTGTACGTCACAGGATTGAATAAATTACAATGTAATTATGAATTCATGCATTCAAACTGTTCACGCATTAGGAAGGAAAACCACAATGTTAATAGTAAAGGAAACCTATTATATGTGTGTTAAATAATTCTTAGGATTGCACAGGGATAAGGCATATGCATGAAAATATGTCATGTACTGAAAATTATTGCAGTTTCAGTTTATAAAGGATGATGTGAACTGGTACAAGTTGTGTTGTTCTTATTAATCATGATGTGTATGGGCCAGCAGGTGGATGAATGGTACTTACAACTTGGATTTTCCAGGAACAGAAATCTAAAGCAAATGTACACTAAACCCATCTCCAAGACAATGGGTGCCATACACAGAACTAGGACTTCATTCCCCGCCAACCTTGGAAGTATCATACAGGAATGCAGCAAACCTACTTCACCACAGCCACTTTCCCAAGTGTTGTATAGAAGAAACTTGCCATCATAACCTCAATCCCTGGATCCACATAAGCAGGGATGGGGAATGTCCTGCCAAGGCAACTTTAGTTGCAGCCATCACATAGTTGTTTAGTGTCATTGAATTGGTTCTGACCCATTGCAACCTTGGGTAGGTTTCAGAGGAGCAGCTGGTGAGCTTGAACCACCGACCTTGCATTTCAAACCAACTTTGCAGTCTAATGCATTAATCCACAGGACCACATCATGTTGTTGTTGTTAAGTGCCGTCAAGTTGATTCCGACCCATAGCAACCCTGTATAGGGTTTCCAAGGAGCAGCTGGTAAGCTTGAACCACCAACCTTGCAGTACAAACGACTTTGCAGTCTGACGCATTAACCCACAGTGTGAGTTCAATGTTTGACCAAACATAGCAGGCTAATTTCTAAGTTGATAATTTTGTATGTCCTGTGAATGATGTTATAAATTTTGACAGAAAAAAGGCTCCCCACACCTTACACAAAGGGTTATTAATCCTGGGATGACTAACTCCGTGAAACGTTCTTGAAAAACATACGCCAATAAAACCATTATTATGTTTTCTATTCTGCTTTAATTTGTAAAACACATTCATCTAAGTTACGGTGTTTGTTCCTCACAATGCTGTAAATTATACAGGAAAAGCAAATTTTATCTGAAATGTAGAAATAATGGGACCTGAAGGCCAGATTTTAAAATGTATAACTCACAACCAGATTTTTAAATAGTCAAACCTGAATTTATATTTTCTGTGCTGTTCTATGTGTTGGCAGTTCTGATCCACCAACTGATGTTGATGTTCTGAATCCGTATGATTTACAGTCTTGGAAACCTTATGGGGCAGTTCTCTGTCCTGCAGGGTCATTGTGAGTCGGAATCAACTCAAAGGCAGTGGATTTTGGTTTTTGTGTGTGTCTGTGTGGTTCTAACAAAAATGGAGTCCCAGTATGGCTCTGAACTGCTAAGCCCTGGACTGGTAACTGCAAGGTTGGTAACTCAAACCCACTCGCCATTCCTGGGGAACTCTATATGGGGATTGCTCTGATTCAGAACCAACTTGGTGGCATTTAACAGCAGCATATAAAGATGGATTTAAGAACCTAGTTCTTTAGTTAGTTCAACACATTTTAGGGTTGTTTTATTTCTCCCTCTATCTTTGCTTCTATCATCTAATTTTCACTGCATTCTGAATAGTAGACATGAACTTTGTTCTTTGAGAATCCCACCTATATAGTATGAAATAGGAATTAAGTATATATGCATGGACTCGAACTTTTTTGTATCTATGAAATTCAGTAAAGAATAGGGAAGGCCTATGGAGCTATCTTTATTGAGTTTATATCCTAGGGCAATATTTGTGCAAGAAGAAAGCAATCTTAAAAACACAATGCTATTTTTGTGATAATTATTTAAGTCAGAACTAAACCTCACAGACGCCCAAATATACTATTAATAATAACATTAATTTCATAGTTCTTGTTAAAAGATGAATAAATTTAGCATTTCCTTAGGGAAAAGCAGTATGCAAGAACACAATCATTTGTTTAATGCCTATCATTGGCTAGCCCCTGACAAGTGACTTAATTCATTTTTTAATATTGATATTGACAGAACACATCTAATATCTCAGTGAGATTAATAATGTTTACTCATTACCGAAGTAAAATAGTTCTCAGACCCTGTTTCAGGTCAGAATTCCTTAACCCATATTGCCATGTTTTTATACAAGTACTGTACATAATCTATGTTTTATTTTTTCCTCTCTGCCTTCCCCCCATGAGATACTTCTGTATGCATGCTATGGTAATGTTGTAAAACAAATAGCATATCAAGCTTGTGAAAATACCTACAGGGCAGAAAGGTGAGGCAGTAAGGGTGTGATTGACAAAAATATAGCACTTGCATTATTTAGACCACAAAAAGTCCTGGTGTAGCACTGTAGGATAATTACTGGACTACCAACCACAAGGTTCAAGATTCAAACCCACCAGTTTACTCCAATGGAACTGTTGAAGGTCACCGTGAGTCAGAACTGACTTGAGGGCACTTAACAATAACAATATTAAAAGTTCTTTAGTCTGTATTATTTAATTTCCTTTGCACATTAAAAAAAATTGCAACTAATAAAGTAATTTTAAGGAGCTCTGGTAGCGTAGTGGTTATGAATTGGGCTGCTAATCTCACGGTCAGTAGTTAGAAACTACCAGCTGAAAAAGTTGAGGCTTTCTGCTCCCGTTAAGATTTACAGTCTCAGAAACCATGTACAGCATCACTATGAGTCAGAATCGACTCCACAGTACATAACAACAACAGCAATAAAGTAATTTTAGAATTTAACTATTAAGGATCTGGGGTATCTGTATGAACAATAGTTGCATTAGAGAGAAATAAATTACAATGGGTTATTATTTTTTTCTTTTATATATGTAGTTAAGTGTCAAGGAGTCAGTTTCCACTCATAGCAACCCTGTACAGGGTTTCCAAGAAGCGGCTGGTGGGTTTGAACCACCAACATGGTAGTTAATATTCCTGTGTTTATCCTATAGCGTCACACCAGGCCTCCTGTGTTTGTATATAACGTGTTTGTATTTCCTTTTTCATAACACACACTTTGTTAAACTCCTGTTGTTGTTTGGTGCCATCAAATTGAACTGCTGACTTTGCAGTTAGCAGTGCAGTGCTTATCCCACAGCACCAGGCAAAAAAATAACGATTTATTTTAAGGAATTAGCTCACTTGGTTGTAGAGGGTGGCAAGTCCAAAATCTACAGAGGTCAGGAAACAGGCCAAAGATTCCAGCAGTCTGTGTACCGGAATTGGTAGGTCAGGAGATAGATGAGAGAGGAATTTAGTCTCATTACACATCTGATGTGGGGGAGAAAGATGAGGTTTTCTGCTCCTGGAAAGATGTACAGCCTCGGAAACACTATATAGAGTTCCTTTGAGTTGGAACCGATTCCACAGCACATCACCACTACCACCACTGAACTTCTGATGTGGCGTTGTAGAATCAGCACTGGACTGAGAACTACAAGGTTGGCAGTTAAATCCACCAACTGCTCCTTGGAAACCCTATACAGCGTTGCTCTGAGTCGGAACTGACTTCACAACACAAACAATACTCTGGAGATTGAATTGTTTGTTGAGATACCTCCTTTTTTGTTTCTAAGGTCTTTATCAGACTGTGTACGCCCATCCCCTCCTCCCCCCCCCCCCAATTAGGGACCATTATATGCTTTGCTTTAGGTGAACTAATTGAAATCCTAATCATATGCATCTAGACTAGGGTTTGACTAGGCAACAGGACACCATAGCTTAGGTTCACACAAATTAACCCTCACAATTAATGTTACTGGAAATGACAGGGTTTGCTCTATAGAAACACTGAAAAAACTGCCCAAAACTATCAGAATCAATTTTGCTGAAATGCTGGTAAATAGCCAAAATTTTATAAAAACCAAGTGAATGCATAATCAAGAAAAAAAAAAATGACTGAAACATATTAAGATAGCTTTATAGCATTTTAAATTATTCTTCCAGTCCCAACCCTGATTAGGTGCCAGTATTGAAGACAGCCAGTTTGTTGTGTGGATTCCTGGTTTGAGAGACAATAGAGAGGACTTTGTATTTAAGGAGTTGTATTTGTATTCAAGTGATGATCGATGTAGGGTAAACACTACACTGCTAGCCACAGGTCAACAATTCAAATCCACCATCCAGTCTTTGGAAACCCTGTATTGGTCATTATGAATCAAGATGGACAAGCAGCTACATCATAGTTGTTGTTAGGTGCCATCAAGTCAGTTCTAACTCATAGTGATCCTCTGCACAACAGAACAGAAACCACTGCCTGGTCCTGGGCCAACCTCACAATCGTTGCTACTCTTGAGCCCATCACTGCTGCTGCTGTGCCAGTTAGTTTTGTTAGGGGTCTTCCTCTTTTTCACTGACCCTCCATTTTACTAAGCGTGATGTCCTTCTCCAGACAATATATCCGAAGTATGAGAGACAAAGTCTGACCATCTTCGCTTCTAAAGAGAATTCTGGCTATACTTCGATCACAGATTTGTTATTTTGGCAGCCCATGGTAATTTCAATATAATCCTCCAGCACCATAACTCAAAAGCATCAATTCTTCTACAGTCTTCCTTATTCACTGTCCAACTTTTACATGCATATGAGGTTATTGGAATTACCAGGGCTTGAGTCAGGCACACTTTAGTTCTCAAACTGAAATCTTCGCTATTGAACTCTAAAGAGGTCTTATGCAGCAGATTTGCCTAATACAGTATGCCATTTGATTGTTTGATTGCTGTTTCTATCAGTGTTGATGGTTGATCCGAGCAAAATGAAGTCCTTGCCAACTTCAGTCTTTAATCCATTTATCTTGATGTTATTTATTGACCAGCGGTGAGGATTTTTGTTTTCCTTAAATTGAGGTGCAACCCATACAAAGGCTGTAGTCTTTGATCTTCATCAGTAAGTATTCTGTGTACCTTGGACTTCTTCTTTTCGTATCATTGGTTCATGTTCTTGAAATTGTTGAACA